TTCCGCTGTGACGTTCAACAGTAGCCACGGATAAAATTGAATGTGACCCGGTCCTTGGATTGAAGCCATCTAACTAGGTAGATTAGGGCCTTTTTATAGACATACAAATCGAGGCTTGAGTTATTTAATAAGTGATTTATCTGCATTGAAAATGAGTGGTTGAATGCTTTTGTGAGGCTTTTCCGCGATGCCGATGAATAGTAGGCTTTTTCTGTTGTCAAAAAGACACCCTCCCTTCCAAGGGGCAACAGCACAACACCCATTATCTATATCTTACTATTGCCTGGAGAGCTGCAAAATATAGCCTAGTTCTCTTCCTTGAAGTTGAATGAATCCATACCACCTGGGTACTTGTTACACGGAAAAGACCCAACAAGACCGTGAAGCCCAAACAAAGGGGCTTCGCCGATACAGGACTTGTTGGTTACACAGCTAGAACATGTGCCCAGGCAAGGACCCTAGGCCCGGGCGTTCCTTTTATGTATATAAGGCGGTCACCCTTCTCTTCCTTTCTCGTAGCAACTCAAGACCTTAGAGACCCTTCGAGATTATTATTGAATTGAGCCCTTTTGCTCAAAGCCTTCACACCGAACCCTTGTCACAGTACTTTTCTCAACTAGGAGACCCCGAAAACCTCGGACAGCTCAAAGACGACATCGGCCTTTATCCATCAGCAACCGGCCTTCCCTGGGCAACAGGGTTCTCGTCGGTGAGGCAAAACAGGCATTGGAAACCGGTCAAACACGTCGTAGCCGATTCCCTCTGAGACTTCGCCACCGACCATGGTGCCAATAAAACAGTTCCAACGATGGTATAACTTGGCCAGAAGGGCACAACGCAAATCCCCATTCCTACAAATGGCAAGCGGAAGCTATCATTTCGTACGTGGCCGAAGCGGATGAAGCGAGGGCAAAACTAGTAGCAGCAACTCTTCTGACCTTTCTGTTCTTTAACGGCAAGTTGGGTCAAGCGCATTTATGCATTCTACTTACCAATACGCATATTAATAGCACCATATGGGAGGCGCAATCTGCCAGTTGTATGTGACGTGTGACGGGACTTCCAGTGCTTCATGAATAAGGTTGACGTTGTGAACAGCACTGATCGCTACCAAATTACGATGCTGCAAATGCCATGTATTGTACTTTTCTGCTTCAACAAGAATGCGATATGGATGCAGAAACACATCAGTTTCCATTGGCGAACGAGTTAGCTGGGGAGGAATGGCGCTCCGTCGATGCGATCCTATGCATGACAAGCAATCATTCTAGCTTGAAGAACTGTGGTCAGGTATGGAGGGCAAAAGTCCAGGCTTTCCAAAGATTCGCATGATTTGTATTAGACGAGAGATAGAATTTGTCCCTGTTGACGGAAATTATTCATCTATCCGCCAGCTCAGCGAGATGGCCAATGTATTCGTGCCGCTTGCACCTTACTCATGTTGCAGCCATGGTGGTCAGTCGGCAATGGCTCGTGGATGTGAGCTGCGCAAGATGACAAATGCCCATTTCCAAAACATGTTGATTTTAGGACGCCCTGGTCTAACAGCATACCTCGGCACTCGATGCAGTTCATACTCTGGGACGTGGTTATGCGGTCCAATGGCAGACACTTAATGCAAGCTAGCTGGCACGACAGCGAGGCTGTCCAAGACCAACGTCTTGATACGGCTATTCATATCTTCGTATTCGCTACTCTAGTCTCTCTACTTCTACCTCCATCTACACCACACCACGATGTGCCCGCCCTCTGTACAAGTCAACTTCAGCATCCTCTCAGTGGGTAGACCTGCTCGACACAGACCCCTTCTCAACCTGGTCCATCTCGCTCCTCTTGGCATTCTTGTCTCCGGCACGAGCCCGGCGACACTTGTAAATGCCGAAGCCCGCCGCGGCCGCAAGGAGGAGGAACCCAACCACGGAACCGACGGCAATGCCGGCCTTCTGCCCGCCGCTGAGCCCGCTGCCGCCCGCGCGGAGAGCAAGAGACTCAGCCTGGTCAGCGGAGCGGTACGCATTTGGCTTCAACCCAGAGTCGTGGTACCCGGCCACCCAGGCCGGGGCATCGCACTTGGTCAAGTTGAGCGTCTCCAGCTCCTTGCCCTTTTCGGCGCACGTGTTGGTGAATCGCCGGAGGGCAATCTCGTCGTCTGGCTTGGAGACGCTGCGGATAAACATGTTTGAGTAGTCGGGCAGGAACGAAGGCGATACAATGGAGATGATGTCACGGATGACCTGATCCGGGCGCGCACTGCCGCGGTCAAAAAAGTCTGCGGAAAGGGGGAGAGGGACACGGTCAGCAACGACACGGGCGGATATCCAAAGCAGTTGGCATGGAACTCACTGTGACGGCGGTTGCGGTTGGCCGCCTTGTCCGTAAGCCAGACGTTGTTTTTCTTGACGGCGTACGAGGCGCTCGAGGCGCCCGATCTTGACGTGTACGTGTCGGCCGTGATGCGGGTAGACTCGGGCAGGGTCTTGGGGGCCTGCTTGCCGGGCAGCTGGTCGTACTGGGTGGTGTCGATGATGGCCCAGCTGTTCCTGGCAAAGTTGTTCCCGGCGCTGTTGGCGTCGATGGTGACGAGGCCCGGCTTGGTCGGGTTTCCCGTCTCGGAGGCCTGGCCGTCGGCCGAGACGTTGACGAGCGCCGAGCCGGCGTCCGAGAGGATCGAGTTCCACCAGGCGCTCTGGAACACGGTGAACTTGTCGCCGTCCTTGCGGATGGGCGAGATGAGCGCGCCGGTAGGGTACGTGCCGGCCATGATGGCCTGCTGGACCTGGGCGGCCGCGCAGCGGTAGTTGGCGGAGATTTCGTCGTAGAGCTTCTCGCCGAGCTCCTCGAGGCCGAAGAACATGGAGACGAACTTGATGTAGCCGAGCTGAGCGAGCGGCGCGTAGTTGCCAACGTTGTAGATGAGGACCTTTTTGTTGTCCGACGTGGCTGTGTCGCCGTAGAAGGTCACGTCGACTTCCGGGGCCTTGTCCCACTCGTCGTCGTCAAATGTAATGTTGTCCTTCATGTTGCCGCGAATACATGAGCTCGTGACGTCGGAATACACACCGGTGCGCTTAAGGCTTGTCGACATGCCGAGCATCTAGATTTGGTGGTCAGCGTCTCGTCCCAGGGTGCGGATGGACCAATGGTTTGCCAACCTCGATCAGATTCTGAGAAAATCCATCCAGCGCAGCTACATTCTTGACGGGAGCCTTGACGAACAAGGACGACTCGCCGACGATGGAGGTGGGAGGCGGCTCCTTGCTGCAGTACAGAACGACATATCGGCTCTGACGGTTCTTAATGGTCACGTACGTCTTGTTGTACTCGGCCAGGAATGGATTGGTAGGACTCTTCTCAAACTTGGTCAGGAAGAAGTCGGTATCCGAGTCCCAGGGCGCGTCGGCACATCCCTCTCGGAAAGCAGCCTGGCCCAGCGTGGCCGATGCCGCGAGCAGCGCAAGTTGTGTGAAGCCCTTCATGATGGCGATTTGGCGGCAGCAAGTCCGGCAAGCGCGTTCAAATCCACTTGGCTAGATGTTTTACTGAACACGGAACTAGGCGTACGGCGATGGCTGGATCCCATTTCCCCTTTTATAGACAAAACAAAGAAGCCGGCTGGAGCCACGAGCTGGCCGTGTCTTCTGCTCCCGCCACGCTTGAGCTCGATACTTTCTCCGAGGCACACCTCCAGCCCTGGGCAGTGTGGATCGAAGAAAACCATGTGTCACAAGACGCTCGTACCCTGGCCCCGAGCTCATTGGGCCAAGATGATCTGATAAGATCACGCTGGGTATTGCCAAGGCAGGCAATTGAGTGGTGGAGAAACGCCAAGTCGGGCGTACCAGGCATTGGCATTGA